ATGAGGTCTTGCCAAGTTGCCCAGGTGGGTCTTGAACCCGCGGGCTCAGGCAGTCCACTCTCCTCGGCCTCCCAAAGTGCTGGGATTACAAACTGAGCCACTGAGCCCGACCAGTAGTTATATTATTAATTATTCCTAGCAAGCCAGGTGTTGTGGCTCACGTCTATAATCCCAGCACTTTGGGAGGCTGAGATGAGAGGATTGCCTGAGCTTAGGGGTTCAAGACCAGCTTGGGCAACTTGGTGAGACCTCATCTCTACAATGAATCAAAAAAGAAGCCAGGCGTGTTGGCATATGCCTGTGTTTCCAGCTACTTGGAAGGCTAAGGTGGAAGGATGACCTGGGCACTCCAGCCTGGGTGACAGATTGAGACTACAACTAAAAAAAAATTATCCTTCGCAATGAGATAGCCCAACCTTTTGGATATGCCACTTAGTGCTTCTAGAATGTACAAAGTTCATCAATTCATTCCCCAACATGCATTTACTGAGTACCTATTATGTGCCAAGCGTTACTACAGTGCTTCCCACTCAAAGTTCTGAATCAGATCACCAAAGTTTCCTTTCCTGGTGTTTTGGAGATACCTTTGGAATGGCTTGACTTGGCATGAGCAGTGGAGGAAGGCCAGCTGTTCTCTGTTTTCTACACCTCAGTCCAAGGCTGTCTATTACTGCCATCTCCCACCAGCAACTCTGTCTTTCTCCCCCAAACTGCAGGACGCAGGTGTTCCCACACTTCCCCTCCCACGGGGCAGTCGTTTGTAGAGTCGTTTCCCTAACAGGGTTCATTCTCTCATCAAAACAGTTTTGAGATTTCTCAAAAACAAATACACACTGCCCGCGTGGCAGGTTGAACTTGTATTTCTACACTCGCTTCTCCAGAAAGACCGGCCATGTGAGATTTACCCATAAAATCTAGAGCCAGAGTTGAGCATCTCATGCATGCACTAAAAAACATGTTCAAATTCAATAGTAAAGGAGGCCGAGAATGGTGGCTCATGCCTGTCATCCCAGCACTTTGGGAGGCAGAGGTGAGAGGATTGTCTGAGCCCAGGGGTTCAAGACCAGCCTGGGCAACATGGTGAGACCTTGTTTCTACAGCAAATCAAAATATTAGTTGGGCGTGGTGGCACGCGCCTGTAGTTCCGGCTACTTGGAAGGCTGTAGTGGAAGGATTGCCTGAGCCCAGCAGGTTGAGGATGCGGTGGCCATGAGCATGCCACTGTACTCCAACCTGGGGGTGACAGAGTGAGACTTTGATTCTCCTCATTTGCATTTGCTAATTATAAACTAGAAGAATTAACCATTTTATTCAATTCATGAGTAAGTTGAATGTCCACGTGGAAACCACAGAAAATGTTCAATTTACAGATGAAGTTCAAAGGTCAACTACCTGTAAATATAAGAGGGGAAATCCCCAAAAACCCGGAATTATCTTTCGGAGGGTGGGCCCCTTAAGTAGAGGCTTCCCCCAC